TGGAATGGAAAGATGTGGCATTAAAGGATCCAATGACTTACGCGCAGAAGGCATTCGTTTGATATGCCAGTGGAACGGCTTTGTTGGTGGCCGGATCATACTCAGAGGACATAGCGAAGTATCCATTGGCAGTCTTGAGCTCTGTGTAGTTTTCCAACTTGTCCAGAAACATCACTCGGCCATTTGGCAGTAATGCAGCATGCATAGCGGGAACCCCAGAGGATCCGACTACTCGGAATGAGCCTCCATTGGGAGCTGCTGGTGCTGGTGAGGGGCCGGGTGGTGGGACTGCTGGTGCGTTGAGACAAGGACCTGACTGGCAACCTTCGCCACAGTGCGCCTTGCACGAATATTAGGGGGGATTCAACGACGTAGATTCAAACACTTACAGAAGTAGAACCACAGAACGAATACGCGCTGCAACACGAACCTTGCGGCCATGAACCACACACAGTGTTACCTTTGCCTACACCACATGAGCCATTAGTCGTGACGGCAGCGGCAGAAGTACTTCCTGCCGGCATCGAAGAACTCGCAGGTGCGATGACTGGTTCACCCATCGTCGAAGAGGGGATTCCTGCTGAACATCCATTTTGGCATCCGGCTGAAACCAGACAGTGGCCACCAGTCTTTCCGCAGAATCTTCAACGGTCACCAAGTCAGTTATTCATCCTTCAAAATTCGAACGGGTATGAAAGGGGTCCAGGTACCCATATTGTGAACAGCACTGGCCATACTCTCCCTTGGGATCGCAGAGAGCACCGCCGAAATCCTTTCCACAACGGCCATCGGAGCGAGGTGGTGTGGGGTGCGTCGTGGGGGGGGAACATCCATTTTGGCATCCGGCTGAAGCCAAGCAGTGCCCATCAGTCTTTCCGCAAAATCTTCCAGTCACCAAGTCAGCTGTTCATCCTTTAAAATTTGAACGGGCATGAAAGGGGTCAAGGTACCCATATTGTGAACAGCATTGGCCATACTTTCCCTTGGGATCGCAGACAGCACCACCGAAATCCTTTCCACAATGGCCATCAGAGCGAGGTGGTGTGGGGTCGGTCGTTGGGGGGGAACATCCATTTTGACAGCCATTAGAGGGGAGACAGTGACCAGGTTTAGATCCACAGTAGCTTGAGGTATGTAAGTATGTATGAATGGCAAGATTGCATGGCAGGTGATGGTTGAATGGTGTTCGGGATTGTTCTCATACTTCGAAGAGATGCTTGGTATTGCGCACGATGGGTTGGGGAAATCAGGTCGAATGTCGAAAACCTTCTAACACAATTTACTTGAATGTGCTCGAAAGTTATAGACCATTATGTGGATCGATCTTTCAGCTTTGAAGACATGGACCACGTCCTCGGGTGGGTTGCGGAGAATCGAGCGAAATCCCCGAAGCTCCCTAGAGACCAAGATTGGTTCTCCAAGAATTGCCCAAGCAAAAAATTGGAATTATTTGGGCCGATTCAAAGAACCAAATCAAATGAATGGAGCTCTCCAGACATTTAACTTGGTCCTTTGGATATCCCAATTGAGCTTAACCGCTCAATAGTATCGCGGGAACTGGGGAAGCTGTTGAGGCTTTGACAAGATCACTTTTTGCGGAAGGTCTCCCGTGCAGAGGGGGAAGAAATGGTACTTGCCCGTAAGAACTACAGCATCCCTGTGTGGGTGTTAGCATGATATTCCGGACAAAAAGGAGGTGTGAGCTTGGAACTGTCTCGACGGGAATTTACGTCTGACGATCAGGAATAACCTGACGACAGCGCCAAGCTTCCACAAGAAGAAATGAAATCCTCTGGGGCGAACAAGACGTACTCCATATGCACCATTGGCATCACAAGTGGCTCCTCCGAAGTCCTTCCCACAACGTCCATCGGCTCGGACTCCTCGAACTTGAAGCTGAACGTTCGGTAGCGGATCTCCAAACGACGACGGATATCGAATATTTTCCGAGGGTATGCACCTAGACAAGCCCATCAGCACTCGCCATGCTTCACTTTCCATCATGAACAACTTACGTTCCATCCTGACGGCAGTCTTGTCCGAAAAGACAGCCATGGTACATCTGGGGAGAGGTGAGGTCGCATTTCAGCGGAGCGTGATTGAAGATTATATTGGCGAACGCAGTCGCAGCCAGGCCGAGGGAGAGAATCGTAACCTTCATGATGCGCCAATTCTGTTTACAAAGTGTCAATAAACGTTGCGGAGATTGTAGTGAAGATGAAGTTGGTAGAAGGCTGAGGTTGAGGTGGAATAGTGAAGTCGAGGTTGGTAGACGGTAGAGGTTGAAGAGTCGAAGTTCAACAACGGCCATCAGTCGACTTCCAGGCCTACTTGACCTAGTCATCAAAGCCCTGGCCATTGCCATGCCGTTGCACAGTACAGGCCATTGTGCCGGTGGTGCAATGCATCAAACAGGCCGGGTGAGGACCCAGCTTCTGGGAAGCCGTCGTCGGTGGCAAGGACATGGAGGCACAAATGAAAGGCGCAGACGGAGAGATTGACTGACCTGCGCAGCGATGAGGAGGTAGGTAGGTACCTAGGTAATAGTATCAGGCCGGGTCGAATGGGTATCGTATAGGTTCCCCGGCAGGAATGAGGTATGTGACAGGAAACGAAGGTCTTTGCTGATTCTAGGAAGTGGGCGGAGGCCGAGTGGAAGGAGGATGTCTTCAAAGACTGGAAAGCAAGATCCTGGTAATGAGTGAATCGGAATCCTGCATATGGTGTTGGCTGGGTGAAAACGGAATTTCGGTGCAGGTGGTGGTGAAGGAGGAGGTTGGTGAATGAAAAGACGGCGGTGCAGGGAGAAAGGAAAGATGAAGATGGTTTCTCGTGGTACGGAGCATTCGAGGAAGTAGGAAGTCGCGAGCGCTTCGCTACTCCGTGGTAGCCCTTTTCGACATTCTCGACTTTCTTCGAGTTCCTTGACCTGATCATGCTGGGTCCTGTATTTCTCAGGGGCTCCCAACTTCCCAACTTCCCGTTGCACTTGATCGATTTTTAGATATCCTAATGACGTGGATTTCTGCCACCGCACCACTGGTTCAGTAGCAAGCTGCTGCCATGTGCGCAGATGTCAACAAACGTCACTGGCAGGGCGATATAGCAATGCAATATACTTCGTACAACGTATGAGGAGAGGTCAAGCAAGGGTGGCTGCATGCGGTCGATCCGCACGTCGGCAGAATGTCTGCATCCATGTAGGAAGTCACGCCGCAGCTGGCAACACGGTCATACGAACGGTCGATATTATAATTCCCAGCGCTTCATGGTAAAATGCGGGTGGCTTCTATCGTGTTACTCGGCTTCTCCCAACATGACAAAGTCGAATTCCCCCAGGATCCACGAGCATCGAGCATCGAGCATACGGACGCAAAAGGTCGTTGATATGAAGTTGACAAGGCCACCGAGGGGACCCAAAAGCGGGCACTAATATCGTACTATAGTCCCTCATAGACTCATAGTCCATCATAGTCCATCCTAGTCCGCCATGCTCATCGTCCATTAGAGCTGGTCGAGGAACGCCACGGCCATTTGCAATGCAATCGACGATCCTTCGCATTGGCGCCGATCAGAGATAGATTGACCAGTCAAGAGCCTCACAGCGCCCCCGAAAGGAGGTGGCCCGAAGGTGTCTCCTCTGCCAGACGGAGAGACCCTACTTCCATTCTCGGTTTCCTTTTCCTCGTGATGCACGCGATTCCTCGATTGGATGCGCGAGTCGAAACGTCGAACGACCGAAATCCTCTCCTCGTTTCCTGGGAAACATCCGGATGCCATCTTTTCGCAGGAGCCGAGAAGACCCAAGGAAGGAGCTTTCCAGAAAATGCTGGCATGAGCTGCATGAGCTGCGCGGTGATTGAACAAGATCATGGCCAAGAGATATCCAAACCTCGGTGCTGGGCCTGCTGGCGAGGCTTCTCCGACATAAGCTTTGTTGGCGTGACAAGACTGGCAACGTAGGTCGATGATATATCCACCAGGTCTCACCAACTCAATTCATTCTTCGGACCGCCGTCGTTGTCGACTTGCGGAACTTCAGTCCTTTTCTTGCTTGTCGGCTCCTCCAATGGCTCTGCCGCAGGTTCATGGTCCATCAGCGAAAGGTCCATGTCCCATTTCTGCATCTCGTCGTCGACAATTCGGTTCCATTTGACCATGAGAGGATGAGCATCTGCCACATCTGTAAAGACCAAATCGAATCCCTCCTGGTGTTCTCCGGGGACTGGATACGTCCAAATCCCATCCACGCCCCAGTACTCGGTCCCAAAAAGACTCTCCGTCGCCAATTCCCTCCTCCCATCCGCCAGCAACATATGCATTCTCCTCGCCTCCTTCCCCCACTCCTCCCCCCTCTCTATCTTCGCACCGTGACTAACGGCACCATCCAGCCCCTCCAGCAACCCCAACATCTTCCCAATCCTCAATCCAAGAACCGCGCCCAGGCCATACCCCTCGTCGAAACCCGCCTGCACGGTCTCCCCCTTCCCTTTGGTGACACCGTCCCTGTAGCCTTCCGTCTCATGTTTCTCCTTCAGCCGTGGCACATCCGACGGTTCGATATTGCCGCCAGAGGGATGCCAGATGGCGGTGCCCGAGTTTTCCGGGTCGAGATTCGGGGATGGAGGCGCGGATCCGAAAACATCATCGAAGGTGTCATTCGTGAGGGGAGGGTCTGTGATGATCGCGTCTCGTGAATCTGCGCCGTCGATGTCTTCACCAGGGATGCCAGTGGCAGCGGGGAAGATCGCATCGTCGCGCAACATGGCGCATTTGTTGTTGATCCCTCCTCCAGCTTCAGTCCAAACCAAAATGTTGCCGAGCCCTTGATCGCATCGCACCGCCACATGCTAATCGCAAGCGAGGCATGTGGCTGAACACAAGCGAAGCCGAAGATGCCCCGAGAACTTTCCCTTTCACCAAGCCAGGCCGCGAAGTATAGTTTATAGATCAACAAAACGATCCTAATCACATTCCTGCCTGGATGGCGCAGTAGTAAAGCTGGTTTGTAGTAGTGGTTAACTTGTCTGCTTCCCAAGCAGGAGACATGGGTTCGAACCCCATAACCCGCAGAAAATATCCTTTTGGCCGTCCCCTCCACCCTCCCACGCTCGAGCATGCTCTTCATGTTTTTCTTTTGGCCTCCTCCTGGCCTCGAGCGTGCGCAGTGTGCATGAATCCCGAGTTGGTTGGGAGGGCGCTTTCCCGACTCCCATGGGAGTCACTGGGTGCTGCTGCTGCTGCTGTTCTCAACCCGTGGACTTGACCTCGCTTCCAAAAGGGGAAGGGCAAATCGCACCGCCGTCCATTGCGAGCAACACCAACAACGAGAAACCAACGTCGTCAAACGACGTGGTCCAGCCAAGGCTGCTGCGTGCTTTGCGCCCCTTCCCATGTCCTCGCGTGCTGATCGATGGCTGCCTCTCTGAAACCTTGCGTGGTTTTCGGTGCGCCTTTCCCTCCTTCGTCTCCTTCGTCTCGAACTACCTGTTTTTGGTCTACCACCGTCCCCCCCACGGCTTATACTGTGCTATCCCCCTCCTCCCTCCCCTCGGAAATAAAGGCTCTTCGGTGGATCCAGGGTCGGGGTTTACAGTACAGCGAATCATGGGGTGAAGCTTCTCGAAATCAAATCCCAGTGTGGCTTTGCTCACCCACGCAGTCACCAAACATTTCGGATAAGTTCCGTATGTTACGGTACTTACTGTAGCTGGCCACGGGCAAGGGTTGAAATCCTGGGTATTTCATCTAATTTTATCTTGAATCTAATTGTACGCTAGTTTACAGCCTCACCGCCTGCCCGTATAATATCTCGAGGGAGCCATATATCGCCGCCCGACCCCTTTTCCACCACGAATGATATACGCGGTTCGGGAGCGCGCTTTCAAGTCTCGTGATCTCGGCGCGCAGGGCCACATGGCATCGGGTTCCCGTGTCGTCGATCTGGGGAGGCGTGGAGAGCGTCGGACCGTTGGTGCACGTGGGGGGGGGGTTGCTTGAGAGCAGGCGGTCTCGGGCGGTCTCGGGCTCCTCGGCGCTTCGAGGCGTGCCTGAGGCCTCTCGTACGCACGGCATGTTTGTCTGTCTTGATGTTGAGGCTGGGTGCTTGCGGGATGTGATGGTTGATTCCGAGAACTCGCTTCGGGCAGGAGACCGCCGTGAAGGGTGATGGATATTGGTTGGTTGGTGGTACTGTACGTCCCCCCTCTTCTCTCTGCGCTCGAGGACGATGTGCGTTCTCGGTCCTACAGTATGGGAATCAACAACTCGCCGGAGTTCCTCGCTGTTGGAAGAAGACGGGAGACCAAACCGCCGTACGGACAAACCCGATGGATCTTCCGCTCCCCTTATTACTGTCTCGTACATGTAGTGGGGGTTCAAAACCTATCGACCCGCCCGTTTGAATGAGTTTCTACTAGGGACAGACATTCACGTCTTTGTCCGGACTCCGACCGGAGCGATAGGAGCTTTAGGACCTTGGGGAGCGGGCGGCACTGAATGCGCATTGCAACCTGAAGATCATCGCCCAGGCCTTTTTGAAAAGGGGGTTTATTGGATGGGCATGGAGAATAGATAGATATAGTGGAGATGAAGGCAGCAAGGACTGTACACGCACGGTTCACCATGAGCTTCGATCGCGGTTCGTGAGCGGCTTGGCAAGGCGGGGCACGTGGTGCTTAATTAAATACAGCATACGTCCGGAGTACGGATCTGTACGCGAGACGGGCGGTCTCTTCAGTCGGACGACAACCCGTGAGCTGCCCTTCGTGTGAGGAGGAATAAAATGTGCGCCGTGGAGGCCTTGGTTCGCTACAGTACAGCACGCTCGGAAATGAGATCAAAATAGGTACAGTAGTTTACGCCAGAATGTATATTCAACGCGGAATCGAGGGCCCCTCCCGGGGGGCCACTGCCGTGGAGGCCTTGGTTCGCTGCGCTCTGAAAAGGCCTACCGTCCATTTAATTGTAACTAATACGTTGTACTGCAGGAAGCATAGAGCGACGGTCCACTCATTATGACCAATAGGAAGCGCAGAAACCAAAACTGACCAATAAAACGCGTGTCAAGCGCGGGTTTTAATCCCCTCATAATGACTAATCGGAAGACAGTATTTTGACCGCGGGGGACCCTCTTTACGGAGTACGCAATTATTTGGTGGTGAAGGAGGTCACGTGTTCGAAAGAGAAGCCGCGACGCGTGAGGTTGAAAATTCGATCCCCGGTTGATCGAGAGAGCTTCACGATTTCGGAACACGAGGAAGCCCATTGCTCCACGAGGCACAGTACAGAAGCGCGAACACACGCCGATGAAACGCCCCCGCGGCGTGTATCCCCGGAGAAGAGCGCAAAGGGATCTATCCATCGTGGAAAGGCTGCGCGGGGCGTTTCCAGGACAATCGCCGCCGCCGAGTTCGAAAACCTCCGGATCTCGTGTGAGATTTATTCCATATCATATCTTGAGACGGGGGGAGTGAGCGTAAACGTCGGGGACGTGGATGAACGCCGCTCCCATGTTCTCTTCTGCACCGCTCCACAAAGTCCCACGCGAGGACCCCGTATGCATTGCCAGAGGTGGCATTCGATATATCGTGGAATGCCGCCAAGACCAGTGAGGCCAGCTGCCTGGGGAGGATTCGCCGACTCGCTCTGTGTCTGGGTAGGATGCTGTAGAGCTGCGCCCTGATGAGATGGCAATGTTGGAGCAATCCACCGCGGTGGTCTTTTTGTCTTTCTTAACACGGCCGAGAGCGCGAGATGGCTTTCCGAGCCGAAGGGGGGGGGTTCTGCCTCCAGCTGTGTCTGAGGGAATCCTGATTCATGGTTCCGGGAAGAAGTTCTCCCTCACCCTAGGGGTATCTGGGGGGGGGAGGCAGAATTGAACGGCGCCAGACGAGGGGAGGGACTTGTAAGTTACGGAGTTCGTCGTGAGTCAAGAGGGCTGGTGACGACCAAGATGTCATTGTTTGCGCGTGCGGTATTGCCGGCCGGTCCTATTCCTTCGCAGGAAAATGGGGGTAGCCATCGTGAGGGGAGGGATTCACGTGAGAGTCGACCGACCTGTTCTTGACATGTACAATTATCTAGGACGAGTTGGAGCTTGAAAAAAGGCGAGAGGGCTGCGGTATCTTTTCCGGTCTTCAGTTACTCAATCAAATGGGTCTTCTCAGACCACCTAGGCTGACCTGATTGATGTCGAGATCCGGGGGTGGTGATACCTCTTGTCGCCATGGAGACCCGATGGTGCAATTGAATTGAAATGGCGGATGAAAGACAAGAGCAATCTCCCTCCTTCCTCCCTTTCTCGGAACTTGGATCGGAGAGGGAACTGGCTCTCAATAAGATAGATGAGGTCAGGAAGAACGAGGAAAACGAAATATCATAGGACGTATAAGAGTGGACTCATGCTTAGTACGATTCGGTATCAAACATGATAAACATAAGGGGGATTTCTAATGAATGTGAAGTGTTGCGATAAATACTATTATAAACTATCCCCCTTTTCCTTATAATAAGTTCAGTGGTGAGCGGATCGCGCGAGATTTCTTCCTTCGAGCTAGCGTTATTCATGTGAAGGGGGGGAGGGGTGGTAATACTTTACCGCTATATCTCCGTAGGTACATAAATTGATCTAGCACAAAAGATCTCGTCAATTCGGTAAAGCCCAAGCGATATAAAGACCTCGACCTGACAAATCGAGGCGCGTGATTCACAGTGAGTAGATCCTCTGGGATCGAACACTTTTACTAATTTTTTTTTCTTCGTATTAGAACTTTTTATTACTATGAAGCGCGCTATTAGATTCAGATTTAATACACATTTCAAGGGGATGTGGAGAGAGTTGAAATCATCCTAAAGCGGCAAAGCCCCTAGTGGTTTGGCTGTTTGCAAACCAACACCCAACCAACTTGTGCACGACCTTACGATGACAGGATATTTTTTTCTTCTCTTCCTCCCCATCGGCTTAAAACAATTGGTTGGCGCGACGTTCCGAAGACTTCGACGAAACCGGAACGATTCTCGTTCTCCTGCAGAGAGGAGGGTGTATGCTGAGTACGACCTTGGCAACTCACTTCGAGCACCATTTGAGGCCTGTATCCGTCTTCATCATCCTCGAATGCTTCCGACAAGTCGACCGTTCATGAACTAGGCTGCGTCAAGGTGTGACACTCATCCCAAAATGGCCGCGCAATAATTCTCCACACAGCCTCTCCGTGACGTTTTCATGACCAACACCAACACGTAACCTCGAGGCAACCCTTAAGAGGTTGCTCAAGCTGTACGAACATTGCCACAGGTCGCAGAGGTCCAACAGACGATACACGACTCTCCACTGGCCGCGCAGAAGTGTGATGTGGCTCCGCCTTGCAAAATCCCCGATCTTTTCATGCGGTGGATCTGTTCGGGCTCGTCATTGCGGATGGGGTTTTTTCGACGGCTTCGTCGTTCGGTCGGGACAGCCTAGCCTGCGTCCTCCCCTGAGAAGGTTCTCGGCTTTCGTCAATCGGTCTCAATAGAGGTGACTCAGGTGAGATGTTTTCGTAGGTGTCTGAAACGCAGAACGTAGACGGGTCGGGGAAGGCAATCGCGCTTGGAACGGCCAGATGCCCGGGTTAGTATATCTAGAATAAAATCTGTGAGAAGTACGTGAAAACTGGAAATGGCTGGGATGAAAATATTGAGAAACGGGGGCATTTCCTAGATGTCCACAAGAAAATCAATGGCAGTTCTGGGACAAAGTCAAGAAAGACACCCACTTGATCTAGTAAAGACACTTGAGTCACTTGACTCGTTAGGAAATCTGATTGTAATCAATCGACTTTGACCAGATCGGTGACGAACATGGTAAAAAATCCCTAGATTTGGCTAGCACCAACTGTTCTTCGCCTGTTCCTGCAGGAGCTCGATTTGAAACAGAAAATACGTCGGAGCACCTCCGTACTGTACGGAGGACGTAACCATACCAGTCGGTTGAGCCCTGATTGGACTGAGGACTCGGAATTGATTCCTTAGACTCGATGGAAATCTTGAAAGGACGCAAACGCACTCATGGCCGCGGACTTCCTCAAGTCAG